GAGACCAAAGCACGGCTTTCGCGCCTCGCCATCAGCCACGGTCACCCGAGCGACCTTAAACTTGACATCATGCATGGACGCAAGGACGGCCTGTGGGTTGCTTTCCACGCACGAGGCATCACGATCTAGATACTTCGCCGAACTTGTACTGCACGCCCCGGGAGTTTCAGCTGTGGTGGATCGGGTGGGACGTCTCACAAGCCGTCCACGGACCTAAGCCGAAACCTACCCTCAGACCGTCGGACGCCTTCAGAAACCCTCGCCAAGCAAGATCCTAGACCCCAAACGCTAGAACCCTCGACAGAAGAAGCTCACATGTAGAAGCCTCAGTATTAGACTCCTGCAGACCAGTGCCCCTTAAACCGCCGAAAAATGTTACTATGTCCGTGTGCTTTTAGAACTCCGAAAGCCCTTTACCTACACCAGAAACGCCCTGAGGCCTGACAAAAACCTATGCCAGCCTCCCCCATCGAAGGAAGCAAACCCAGGGCCGAAGCGGTGGATTTTGCGCTCGAGTTGCCAACCTGAGGAAACTCAAAACAGACACCCTAAACCCTCACCTAAGAACCCTAAACCCTAAACTACCCTACAGGCCCTAAACCCTAAACCCTAACCTACCCTAAACCCTAAACCGTAACCTACCCTAAACCAACACCGGCGAACCGTGGCTTTCGAGAGCATCGGCAATGCAGGGACATGGTAGGTGGAAGGTGCACATGGCACGTTGCAAAACTAGTGTAGGCCCTCAATCCACAACCCTCGGTAACCCCCAAGCCACAACTACAGGCTTTGGCACGGCAGCACCGTGATGTCCCGAACCCCTAAGCCCAGCACTCCGGGTTGCCAGGAGCCCCCCCCCGAAATGTTAGAAAGACACCACAAACCCCAAGCCCTGAACTCCTGAAACATGGTGAACCCGTCAGTCCAACACCCGCAGCTGTGAGTAACTCGGATAAAAAGCTGAAGCTCTAAGACCTTGGAGGCATCACTTCCTTCATGAACCAGCTCTCTCTCCTCTAGTTGCCCTATAAAAGTCGTCGGCAACACGCAAGACCCCTCATCCGAAAACAGCCCGCGAAGCGAGGAAACCCCTGCTTGCAACTCAAGACAAAGCCTTGTCAACCTCAACCCATGACTGAAAATCGGAATCTGAACCACACCCAAAACCCTAAACCCTACCCTAGAAAGCCGAAACCCTGAAAAAATCATGAAAATTCCGGCCTGACCCGGCAGCAGGGGCCCAGCCGGCAAAGGCGATTTCGGCTCTTTGGGTTTCGGAACCTCCCAGGCACCGGGCTCTGAGGACTTAGGGTTTAGGCCACCTGCAGGCCTGGCATTGAAACCGAGATTTGGGTTTGTAGCTTCTGGTTTAGGGTTTAGGGTTTAGGGTTTAGGGTATAGCCATCCGGCACAACCCCCAAACCCGAAACCCTACATCCAAGCACTGTGAAACAAGGTGTATCTGGTCGGTCGGAGAGCTCAGAGTTCACGAAGGCGTCGGTCAAAGACACTCGATACAAATCGCGAAAGCAATGGAGAACCGATGCATCCAGCCCTAGGCTTTACTCAGAGTTATGTGCTAATGCTGGTGTTGCGGCTTGGGTCATAGTTGTCCCTGTTGCGGTTATGGTTCCCGTTCTGATGCCCCGGTGGCAGCAGCAGCAGCAGCAGCAGCAGCAGGAGGAGGAGGAGGAGGAGGAGGAGGAGTAGTAGTAGCCGTAGCCGTAGCAGTAGCAGTAGCAGCAGCAGCAGCAGGAGTAGTGGTGGTGGTAGTAGTAGTAGTAGTAGTAGCAGCAGCAGCAGCAGCAGGAGGAGGAGTAGTAGTAGTAGCCGTAGCCGTAGCCGTAGCCGTAGCCGTAGCCGTAGCAGTAGCAGTAGCAGCAGTAGCAGCAGTAGCAGTAGCAGTAGCAGGATCAGCAGCAGTAGCAGTAGCAGCAGCAGTAGCAGTAGCAGCAATAGTAGTCGCAGTAGCCGTAGTCGCTTTACAGTTTCTCTGGGAGGTCAGGCTGTTTCCCTGCTTCGTGACGGTAAGAACGACGAGGACGGCAGGGCTGACTGCCGCCACGACCCTAACGCAACACGCCTCCACATGGCTCGCATAATTTTCCTTTGGCTTGCCGAATTCGCAGGAACCTCCTGGAACACTCGCGGGTGCTTGCGAAATCGCAGGTGCTTGCGAAACTTGGAAACAGCCGCGAATGCTTGCGGATGGCTGCAAAGCGATGTCGCGTCAACTCCCTGACACCCACCCCCCCCCACAGGGTTAAACAGGGGAAAATGCAGCTGCACAGTGCTTTCGATCTGTCAAGCAGCGTTTTGGACTCTCGAGTCCTCCAAGTAGCTTTTAGGGTTTGATGGTTTGATCTGCTTTGGATCAAGTCTTAGTCTCCCCGGCCTGGGCACCGACCTGCCGTCCAAGGCTCTTCCGCAGCCTTTGGGGCGATTCCTCGCGGGGAGACACAGCCCTGCTCCTCTTTGGGGGTCTGAAAACTCCTAATCCTATGTAAGGCATCTTCAACCTTGGGCATTTGATAAGGAGGGGTTAACAATGTGTGTATATATATATATACACATTTGTATATATATATACACAGATCACATACATACATACTTACTTACTTACTTACTTACTTACTTACTTACTTACTTACTTACTTACTTACTTACTTACTTACACACACACACGCATGCATACATACATATTTACGTATAGTTGCATAGTGCACGACCTCGGCTGTCAGGCCCTAGCTTGGAAACACCGGCAGCCCGTCCGACGTGTCAGGGGACGATCTTCCCAGCCTGTCGCCGAAGACCTGGGAGCGAAAAACTAGCACTGCGAACGCACGCGCGGACGAGAACTAGTAGTTACTTCTAGGGTCGAGGGCTTAGGGTTTAGGGTAGTTAATACTAGTTACTCGTTCTAGCTATCAGATATGTCTACTAAAGTTTTTGCAGTGGCAGAGAGCAAAAGCAACAGCCGTGACGATGTGACACAGAAAAACCAAATGTAATCGCGAAGGCTGTTTGGCAAAGGCTCCAGTTGCCCGGTTTTCTGGTTGGTCAGGCTCGTAGATGGCACAGGACAGCGGTTTTGGAAAACCTGTGCCAAACCAGCACAACCTTCAAGCGCAAGCCGCTGTGCGGCCGTTCCAAAGCAGGCCGTCAGACAAACTGAAATTCTGGGGAAGTGTCAAGACAGCCTTGGTTACTGAGCCTTAGGAAATCGCAAGGCCCGGCCGAGGGACTTCGTCGAATGGTGCGAACGCTCGAAATCCTGCAACAGGGGTTTGGTGTCTAGCTAGGGAATCCCCAACCCTCTTTTGCTACGATAATAGCATGGAGCCTCTGTAGAATCACAACATCAAGCCCTGCTCAGTGAGACCCGAAGGTTCGGACATCAATGATCAGAGTTCCAGCGCTCAGCGGACTTACTCGGACTTGCAAGGCATCACATGATCTGCACTTCTTAAAGGCGGACGACCACGAGTCAAGTTTCGGGAAAGATTACCAGATGAGTCGTAAAGGTGTGCAATCACGGGTGTGCGTATCGGCAGCCATATATCTCAGCAGGCACTTGCTGGCAAGAGCTTGCTCTAGCTTTGCATATGCCTTCTTACACTTATACCTGCTTTATGCAACCATGCTGGGTGACGCTCTGAAGGAACTGCAGGCTTCTGGGCTGCCTCTGCAAGGTGATGTTCTTCTGACATTTCCTGAAGATTCAGGCCCACCTTCACCCTTCTTATCACTCTTTTCATAAAAGACAACCCTAAACGCCTAAACTCCTTTTTTAAGCACGGACTTGCAGTGTATGCCGGCAGCGAAGCTCGAGGGCAGAGCCTTCCTCAGTCGCCTAAACTCCTAAACCCTAAACCCTCCCTGGACCCTATAGTATGCAAACCCCAGAAACCCTAAACCCTCCCCAAACCCTACATGCCATCCCCAGAAACCCGCTCTTTTCATAAAGCCGACGTATCCGTTGCGGCCTGGACCCGGGTCGCCGAGGAGCGAGCCGTGAGGCGGTCTGGGCCCGGGTTTAGGGTTGAGGGTTTAGGGTGTAGCGTTTACGGTTCAGGGTTTTGGGGTGTAGAGTTTAGGGTTCAGGGCTTTAGGTTTTAGGGTTTAGGGTTTACGGTTCAGGGTCTTAGAGTTTAGGGTTTTAGGGTTTTACGGTTTAGGGTGCAGGGTTCGGGGTTTTGGGGTTTCAGCACTCGCGAGAGGTTGGGTGCTGCCCCCGCAGTCTGTAGCAGTCTATATTAGGGCTCTTCGGGTTTAGGGTTTAGGCATGTTTTAGAGTTTAGGGTGGAGGGTCATACTAAGGGCCATCTATCTATCTATCTATCTATCTATGTATATCTATCTATCTGTCTATATCTATATCTATATCTATATCTATATCTATATCTATATCTATATATATATATATACACACACAGATATACATATTATCCAACTGTCACAGAGGGGGCAGTACCCAAGGTTTAGGGGTCAACTTGGAGGATCAGGGCACTTAGCATATAGGGTTACAAGTAAGGCAAGGTAACTATAGTTGTGACTACTATTAACCCTCGCTGTGGTACTTACAACCCGACTTTTTAAGTCCAATGATCCTCCAAGAAGTGCTGTTGGGACAGGCTGTAGGGCGTAGATGTAGCAAGTACGGTAAAGTTCAAGGTGGAGGCTTCACAATCATTCTGAACAATTCAGAACCCGTTGCCATGCCACTCTCCTGGCATGTCAGGGAAGGACTTTCCGGGTTGCATGTTGGCGGTTCGCATTCGCAGCTCCGGATGGTGCAGAAAGTTCGCAACCGCAAAAAAGCCCGTGCTGAACTTCGGCTAGTACATCCCCAAATCAAAGTTAAACGCTGGCATAGGTTGGGACAACGAAATTGAAAGAGCCTGCAATTTTACTACTGGCTATGTACTATTGAACAGAATCTTCGCGCTTTGACTTGAACCTGAAATCCCTAGGACGCCCCGAAACGTAGACCAAGTGGCATCTGCGGTAGTGGCACAGGCATCGGTGGGGGCATGTGGGATCCGGCGCCGAAGGGTGGGTAGGGTCCTGTCGGTCCTGGAGCCTCGTTCTGGGGGGCAGCTGTGGCCAAGAGTACCGGTGGCTTGATCAAAGGGCGTGCCCAGTTTCCCGGGCCCGGGTTGGGTGGGGCATCCATGGGCTGGCTGATCGCGCGCTGACGTTCCACAGCCTCTCGCTTGCTTTGCGTCTCCTCTGCTTCGGCCACAGCCCCGGCGAGCAGCTGCACGAAGCGGCTGCTCGAGTTGGAAAACTGCATGTCCAATGGTGGACTCGGAGTGTCATCGAAGGGGTCCGGGGTGCGCCGTGTGCTGCCCTCTGCCGTGGGGGTGCGGCCATCGCCGGAGCTCGGGGTTGCTGAGCGTCTGGGAAGACTGGGCACTCTGGTGTCGAAGCTTGGAAGCTTGGCATATGCTGGCATCTCATCATCCATCCAATCCGGCGTGCTCAAAGGGGGAATTATTTGGCTGGAGGAGGGCGGCGGAACCAGGTCCTCCAACCAGTTCGGTGTGCTTAGAAAGTTTGTTTGAGCGACTGGGGAGGTGTCGCCGAACCAGCTTGGGGTCCTTAGAATGGCTGTTTTGTCAGTGATGGCAAGATCAAACGGCGTGGTTGGGCTCGAGGGCAAGCTTCGGTCGCGGCTGCCATCCTTAGCAGGTAGCCGTAGCCCGTTCTCTCTTCTTCATGTCTTCCTCTTGCAGCCCTTCTACAGGAGCATAGCTCAATCCATAGATAAATCCACCTCTCCGGATTGGCAGTACCATGCCAGACTATCGTCGGAAAATGTTGCTCAATGTATGGAGGCAAGCATGCACGACAAGGATGCTACTACAGTTCCCCGTCCAGAGTGCACAAGACCGACCAAGAGCGCAAGGACTAATCTGCCAACACTGGACAAGCCCGGTCGAGCAATGCCAACGTGCACGCATACAACTTCTGGAGCCCGTAACTCCCGAGATCCAAATTCTCATGCCCGCAGGCAACCCGACAGCGGTGAATTGGCCTGGTCCATATGAAATGCAGCGCCGACTCGCACTGCAAACAAGACACAGGCAGTAACATCTACTATGAAGGTGGCTACATGCCCCCAAGTGGCCGAACCCATGGAACTTGTGGGCCACCACCATCCTCGGAGGCTTCATGGATTGAAGAATCAAAAGCTTCTGGAGCGCTTCCGTTGCAAATCCAGGTGTTGGGTTTAGTCATAGTATCCCCATATAGTCCCCGACTACTCCAGGGAAAAATCACCCTCATTGAGGCCTCTGTGTTGGATGAGGGGTATGGCCGTTGGCGGCAGCTGCAGTTCGGACCACCAAGACGGCTCACAGCACACACACACACACACAGCACACACCAGAAGCCGTACAAACCACAAGCACAAGAAGCCACCCTCTGCATCACGCCATTGAAGGCAGAAGCTGCAGATGCAGGGGACAGTATTTTCGATGATTTCACCTCAGGAAACCTTTTGGGATGTATTGTCCCCTTGCATACGTCACTAACTCCCCTTTCCGAAGAGCTGCTGCGAATACGCTTAAGGAGTTTAGGGTTTTAGGGTTTGGAGTTTCAGGGCTTTGCGTTTTAGGGTCTATCGTGTGTAAGGGTTCAGGATTTAAGGATTTCGAGGTCCAAGCCGTTCGTGCGTCAGACCTCCTTTTAGCATCCTTGTAGTAACCCGCCTTGGCATAGAACCCCCTTTAACAACCTTCATAGCAAGCCCGATGGTAACCTTGAGAGCAACGCTGATCGATGCCCAGCTTCCATCACTGCTAGGAGGGCACGTCGCCGGTCCCTCCCGTGTCTCTGACTCCTCTTCCACGACGTCAAAGAATGTGTTCCTGGCTAACACTCTAAGTGTGTTCGGGTTTCTATTCAAGGGTTTAGGGCTTCGAGTAGAACCCGAAGAGTGTTGTTGGTTTAGGGCCGCTTGGGATCTAGGTCCATGTACCTACTGTATCTAGTATACGTTGACCGAAAAACACGTAACTGATAGGTACATGGACACTTTGGGGAACCTTTAAGCATTTTAAGCAAGGTACCCCTTCCTTAAAGAGCAGCTTAAGCTTGAAAAGATTGCACTCACCCGTGATCTTCCCCTGCTCAGGAGAATGCAATTTAGGGGCTGTACCAGAGAGAAGAGCCCGTTTTGCTGTTGTATATTTTATGGGGCTATAGCGCTCTATCCGAGTTTTACGGTTCATCGCAGTTAGTATATGGGTCTCATATGGTTTCGGAGTCTATCCTAGCACACCTTTGCGGGGTTTCTCAGGGGATTAGTTAATCAGACCCCGACTGAGCTGGACTTGCGGTATTACAGAGAAGCTGACAGAGCTTAGGGTTTCGTTTTTGACCTTTCTGAAGAAATGTATACTGAGAGCTCAACAACATCTCTTCAGTACGAGTAGATGCCGCTGTTGCGGTGGCAACCGTGTGCGGCACTGCTGCTTAGCTGTCCGAGTAAGCTCAGTCTCGCAAGATGTCTCCACAAGGGAACGAAGCATTTGAACCCCAAACCGCCGTCAATCGCGTCACTGCGGATATGACGGATATGATCAACTCGAATGCTGTCAAGACTCTTGCACGTTAGCCCCTCTGGCACCATTGCAAACAACAGCCGCAGCCCTCCCCCCTACCCTCTGACTCGTCACAGCCCCGGGGCTGTCAACACAGCCCCTGCAGGGGCTGTGGAAAGAGTTTGGGCCAAAAATCGATCGCGGCCATCATGCGTCCCGTTCTCCAGCTGCAACAGAGAACCTCAGCGAAAGCCGTTCATCGACATCCTACCTGCGCTCGATGTTTCAGTCTGCTGAGAGTTGGAACATGTCCTGGGTCCGGTCGTCAAGCCTGAAGCCTGACACCCTCCTTACCCCAAGCCTGAATCTCTTCTTCTGCCATCTGCATCATCGTCACCATATGACTACGTAGTTGCAGTACGTACATGTAAGACAAAGGCATCTGCGAGTCACCAGCTTCCAACCTTCTACCTTGGAGAACGACTAAGACGTGAAGCTCCTTCTCGGCGTACAGCTTCCGCCTTTGGCACGGGAGGGGCTAAAGACTTTAGGCTCTCCGGCGTTGGGGTGTTCTGGGCTTCAGGTGTTTCGACAATGCTTGCGGGCACCCTGCATTTTGGAGCTTGGGCACAAACTCGCATACTGTCACTTTCTGGGACCCGACTGTAAACCTTGCAAATTAGGACTTCCTATCAGATTGTTGGCAAGGTCTGAACCTGGGCCAGGTTGCAGATCGTAGCAATATTATATTTCAATTGCTCTCAACCCGTAACCCTAGGCCCTAGACTAAGCACCGACAAAACTTCTGTTTGAACAGCTTCCTTCTTCCCGCAAGCCGACGCCTCTTCCCCGCGTATGGTGGTGGTTCCATTGAAGGATGACGGGCTGTTTAGTTGTCTCGGAGTTTATTGGCTCCAGGGGTTGAGGGTTCAGGGCTCAATCCAATCTCGCATATCTGAGATAGAGAGGTCGCCATGTACAGTTAGCTGTGAATGGACTCAACCAGAAACTGCCTCGATCGGCAGCTTCTCTTTCGGGTTTGGGGGTTTTGACACTCACTCTCAGAAAACACCAGGCAGACATACTGGTCTTCATTCATCGGGTTGGTTATATCGGAGTTAAGGGCCCCCTAACCCTAAATCCTAACGGGTTTAGGACCAAGCCCCCGGCAGCGCTTCGGCGTGCTGCGCCTCTCCCTGCGCCACTGCCTCCTGACAATGAGACTAAGGCGGTGCTGCCAACCATGGAAGCCATATAGCAAAAGCGAAACCACCTGGAGAAAGAGGAACAAACAGAACACCGATGACAGCAATCAGAAGAAGAAGAACAAAGGCATAGTCAAGCCGGTGACGCCCGCGGGCAGCTTGCTTGAGCATTGGAGGGAGTTCCACGCGGTCAAACGTGCATGCCATTTAAAGCTGAAGGTGTTGCAGCAGCGCTGAAGGCCAATGTCCAAGACCGAGCCGAACTAAAGCCTCGGTCCCAACCACAGGGGCACGAAGCTTTCAACACTGATGCGCACAGAATGTAGCTTTCTCAGCCTTTCTTGATGTCCCCCCTCCACTGCCTGAACTCAAGCTCTGAGCTTCCACCAAAGCGGCTCCAAAGCGAACTCGAAGCTGACGATGGCAACAACGACTAGGACCACCACAACCACCACCACCACCACCACCACCATGACAATGACAACCACAACGTCCGCAACCACAACGCAACCGCAAATGACAAACTAACAACCAACAGCCGCCAGAAACACGACAGCAAGCACGACAACCACAACCACAACACCAACAGCAGCAGCAGTAGCAGCAGCCGCCAGCTGTAGCAGCCAGCAGCAGCAGCAGCAAAGTTTAAGAACCCCCTGGGATCCCCTGGGCCCTCCTCGAGCTCCCGGATCTTGTCGGAGGCTTCGGACAACTTTGCAGTCCAGACCCGCCTTGCTTGGGGATTCACATGGACTAGATACTGGGCTGCATGTTTCGAAGGGGCAGGATCTGGTGTAAGGTGGAGGGTTGAAGAGTTTAGGGTGGAGCAGCAAGAAAATTCTAGGCAACAGGGCTTCGGAATTCTGGCTCAGGATACTGATCGACACATCTGCACATCGAAAAGCTTGTTGTGAACGGCGCATGACCGGGCATGATTTACTATGCATCAACTACAGCATTGTTGTTGAAGGAGAAAATTCTTGCAACAAAACTCAAACAATGCGTCTGCACCCAGGAATGTACAGCTGGATCGAACTAAATCACAATCAGATTGCGGCGAAGAAAATTTGTGGATCGCAGCTGGGGCTTGAGAAAGGGTTGGGCAGGAATCTGGCCGCACAACATTTCACAAGGCCTGGTGTTTGAATGTGGTGACATCAGTCACAGCCGACCTCTGGTGATCAGGCTTCTCTCACCAAGTGGCCTACTATCCTATTGCGCCTCCTCCTCAGCCTACGCCAGGAACAAGCCGGCACCGCAAACGTCGGCTGAGCATGCTCAAGAAGCACCACCAGGAGAACGTCTTCCTTAACTCCTCCCTTGAAACCGAAGCAGCACCTGCCCATACCCAGCTGCAGATGACAGTTGCAAAGTGTCCTGCACATGGACTCCAGTAGCCTGGGGCGCAGACGAGTCTTCGATAGCTTTGTCCTCTTGCTTCTTTGTCATCTCCTGTCGCCAGACAGCCAGCAACAGTTCGCATCATGGCGCTTTCGCAAACCCTCACTATACTTCTCACTACAAAGCAGGACCCAGAATTCTGTCCTCCAGCTCTGCCATCCGTTGGAGGGTTTCCTTCATCTTCCCTTCTGGCACTTGCCTTTGCAGATGTGGTAACTTCAGGCATTCAGCAGTCACCATTGCTATCATGGGTGATATGGGGGGCCATCGCCTTCGTGACTACAACATGCTACAATAGTTTTGGGGCACATCAGGGACTCCCAGGGGCCGTATTAGCCATACCCGCCCTGACCCATATTATAGAGGCTACGGCTACTAGACTAGTAGGGTTCAGGGTTTTAAAGTTTAGGGATTCTAGGGGCTACTTGTAGCCATAGCATTCTAGGAGTTGCAGGCCGCGCCCGGCTTGAGAGCGTGCGGATTTTCGTGAGACAGGGCCCTCAAAACAGCTCAGGGGCCACCTTGTTGTCTAGGCAGAACAGATCCTAGGATATAATTATAGCAGCATTGGGGGAGCCATTCGTTTTGGTGCCATGGCCATGTTCCGGCTGCCATCACGTCATTTTGCTGTGCATTGTGCATTGTGGGAATGGACATCGCCGTGCCCTCGGCCATTGAGGACTCTGCGGCTCATCCTGCACCTCTGCCGCTCGTCTTTGAAGTAATTCCTCCTCGGCGGAGCAAACACGAAGGATGCATGCTTCATCGTTGCGGCCACAATGAGGGCATGAAGTAGTCTCAGTAGTTTCCGTTTCTTGCAAGTCTTGTTGGTGCCCGGCACCGTCCCTAAAGCTACACCACCAACTCTCCTCGAGCTGGGCCAGTCTGCGCAAAGCTTCGTCAGACGCGGCATCTTGCACGAGCCTGTGCAGGAGGAGTAAAATTCGCAGGGGATCGGCGACAGTGAAGAGGAAAATGAACGATCGGATAGGAAGCAAACATACATGATCAAATGGAGATGGCAGTGGGGTTGCTGCCTATAATTTTGTGATGATAACAAAGCTGATCTTAATCATAGCGCTGCTGATGATCGTGCTGGTGGACGTGGGGGATGTGGTGGTGGTGGTGGTGGTGGTGGTGGTGGTGCTGGTGCTGGTGCTGGTGCTGGTGCTTATGCTTATGCAAGTGGATGTGCAGCAGGCGAGCCTGACAAGAATAAAAGTGCACACGTTTGTACAGGTTAATCGGCTAATCGTCTCGTCTGAGCGTCAATGAAAGCATTCGCATGAGTGATCTCTTGGCAGACAACCCTTGCATTCTCATGGTTCTGATTTGTATCAAGCAGTCATCGTGGTCGTGGTGGTGGTGGTGGTGGTGCTGGTGGTGGTGGTGGTGGTGGTGGTGGTGGCGGCGGCGGCGGCGGTGGTGGCGGCAGAAGTGCAGCAGAACATGAGCACGCAACTCTTAGCGGCGCTAGCTAGTCTTGGTAGCAGAGCTTGCACGAGCAGCAGCAGCAGTGAAAGTTGTAGTTGGCGCCCACGGCCAGAAGCACGATCCTGCGAGAAGAAGCAGTAACAGTGGGTTGCGGCCGGTTGAGACGAATGCCTGCGAGACTGTGAGACGGTACGATGTGGACAAGAAGACCACCGGAGCCATGACCTGGATGCACTTTTGTCACAACTGGCTATACATACCAGCTGCGGTCCAGCAGCTGCGAGGTCGTGACCTTCAGATATGTTCAGTCGACTGCTTTCAAGATTTTCTTGACAGCCCACGCAAAGGTTAAATTCGCCCTGGCCGCATCGCGAGAGTTGCATCTTCAGAAGGTCTGACCATCTGTGCCTGCATGACTCAGACGTCAGGCCGGGCTTAGTTTTGAATTTGAGGAACCCTACCCATCAAGAGTCTCATCCGTCATACTCGCCCTCCTCCTCATCGAACTCGCCTTCCTCTTCGGCTGTCGCATCTTGATACTGCTGATACTCAGAGACGAGGTCGTTCATGTTGGACTCGGCCTCCGTGAACTCCATCTCGTCCATACCCTCACCCGTGTACCAGTGCAGGAAAGCCTTGCGGCGGAACATGGCCGTGAAGTATTCGGCCACCCTCTTGAACATCTCCTGGATGGCTGTGGAGTTGCCCGCGAACGCTACCGCCATCTTCAGTCCCTTGGGTGGGATGTCCTTACTGTTCCGAACTCTCAGCAGCCGCTGTCGCCTGCACACTTTATACCTTTTGTGGTCTCTCAAGCTTTCGGAAATCCAACCGATCCTAACCCGGCCCCAGTCATGAGCCAAGCTTCGCACACGGATGCCTTGATGTTGTTCGGTATCCACTCTACGAAGTACGACGAGTTCTTGTTTTGAACGTTTAACATTTGCTCATCTACTTCCTTCGTGGACATGCGCCCGCGGAAAAGCGCCGCCGCTGTCAGGTAGCGTCCGTGGCGAGGATCAGCTGCGCACATCATGTTCTTGGCGTCAAACATCTGCCTTTGTGTCAAGGATAAGTAGGAAACCAAAGAAGGGCAAGGAGTCGCGTCTTCACCCTCCGAGAAAAGTCAGCTTGAGTGATTTGGGAAACAAAGGAAGGCAAGAAGTCTAGCCGTTTCTCCACAGCAAGAAACACTGGAATCCATGAAAGACTGCATTGTGCGTGCATGCAAAACTCAACAAAAGTAGATTCGTCTTTGCTAGTCTTTCATTGCTCATTTGTGCTTGGACTCCGGTAGCTCGAAGGCTAAGGAAGGTACAATGTACGGTACAATGATAACTGTGCCAGACGATTGCTGTGTGTTAGTGAATGACGCGCAGCAAGAGGCTGTCAGGTTAGGCTCATCCCTGCTCTTACCACAACTCCCCAGGCCATCAAATGATGAAAAGCTCTCACCAGGTCTAAAGACACCGTTGTTTTGCTAGTTTCAAGCCGGTTGCTTGTGGCGGAGCAGGGGGCAGTAGAGCAGGGCACTTAAGTCTGTGGGCAGATCCGTTTTCACAACTGCGGATACACACATGTACCATATCTACACGTGTGAGCAAGTCGAAATACTTTATCTTCTTCATGCGGTTTTCCCTCTCGCTCTGGCGAAGCTGCGAAGTGCGTATGTATGTCGATGTGTGGAAACCAAACTGATTGAGTGATCTTCAAACGACAAGTACTGCAGTACTGCCTTCGTGCTCGCCGGAGGATGTCACGAAAAGCACACATTCAATTCATCAAGTAACTTCTTTTATGCATGCCAAAGCGTCTGCGTTAGTTCAGGAACTGTGAGAGCCCGATACTGCTGCGACCCACGGGATGTCAGGGGTGCGAAGCCTGTCATGAAGAAGTGCAGTCGCGGGAATGGCACAAGGTTCACGGCAATCTTGCGCAAGTCGCAGTTCAACTGCCCGGGGAAGCGCAGGCAACAGGTGACGCCACTCATGGCTGCGGACACCAGGTGGTTCAAGTCGCCATAGGTCGGCGTCGTCAGCTTGAGTGTTCTGAAACAGATGTCGTATAGGGCCTGCACTAAAGCACTTCACAAGCAACATCCTCCAGCATATGGACTTAAAGGGACTTCCAAGTCATTTACCACCACCCTGCGCATGCTCTCCCATCCCTGCATGCCAGGTCCCCCCATCCTCATTGTCCAGCAGGAAAGATTCATCGGAATTCTCGACGAGCTGGTGGAAGCTCAGCACAGCCTGCAAACCATGAAAGCACTAATCTAAACTGCACCAGCAAACTCAGTATCAAAGCCTCGCACCCTTTAAAACAGAAAAGCATGTCTCTTGCTTTGGCAAGGGCCAAGCCGCGTTGTATGGCTCCACGACGGTGTCCGAAACTTTGGGGCTGGGAATCACAGAGAACGTTTCCATGATGCGGTCCGGGTACTCCTGATTTCAATTCTCGCATTGGTTCCTTGTGCACTGGCCCCCCTGCCATGCAGATCTGGATACTCCTACTTGTAGCCTTTCGAGCTGTATTGTCGATGTCTGTCAATAAGCTCAAGATCAGTATTCCGCCCATCTGATGGAACTACCCTGTTGCGTTAACACAATTCTTGGAATTACTTCTGGAATGTGATCTTACTCTTTCAGGCCCGAAAATGCGCCAACACAAGCTGTTTGGACATCGTGACTCTCGTGTCTCCTCACGCACCTTTGACACAAGCAGTGTGCCCATGCCGGCTCCCGTGCCTGCAGCGGCCAGCCCGAGGCTCAGTAAAAGCAGATATACGTATGTGTGTGTGTATGTATATATATATGTATGTATGCATATGTGCATATACATATGTATGCATGTGTGTATGTATGTATGTATGTATGTATGTATGTATGCTACATACATTACTTGTATAATGTATGAAACAATATTGTCAAATATATAATATAATGTAAGTTATAGTATAATGAAAACACAGTAAACAAACCATATGTCATACGAAAAATACAATAAATAAATATATGTATATGTATATATATAATTTGTAACACATGTAAAACATGAAAACAAAATAAAATAGTATGTGATAAAAATAAAGTTAAAAGAATGTAACATATCATAAAATGTAGTGCTGAAATAATACATGATACTTCATCTAATGAATAATTTGATATTTGAGAACATATACTGTAGCATAGGGATGGATATATCAAAAAGTAAAATGTAGTACTAAAAAATGCACATATATATATACATATACATATACATAGTATACCATATGATATAATATATAACCTAGAGTATAATGCAATGTAGGTTATAATGTAAAGTAAGGTATACTACATAATATAATCAAAACATAATGCGATGAAAAATAACATAGTATAAGTGACTGAATGTGTTATAACAAACCACATGATATCATGTTTTACATAATATAAACTATTGTATTTATAATATTTTGTAAAGCATAATACGCAATAGCATATGCGAATGTGCGTGTGTGTGAATGATGCCATATAATACAACCTGAATAAACTGTAATCAGTGTGTAATATGCAACATACAGGATATCATAAAAAACTAAAGAAATGGAAAAAAAAACACATATAAAGTGCCATATAAAACCAAAAAATAATACCATACATAATACAGAATGTAAAATAATAAACTGTAGTATACAATGCAATGAAACATGATCTAATATACGATGTAACAAAATTTAAATTATAGTATACTATGCAATATGATGAAATATAATGCAATATGATGAAATTCAACATGATACAATATAACACACATATAAATATACACACACACACATACACTCGAAGGTAATCTGTTGAGCACTTCTACTGCCGAGCTTTGTTTCTTCTGCCCTCGTGCTGCATGCTTGAAGCACTGGTTCATTCAATCCGAACTCCAAGTGCCCTAGACCGATGCCTCCGCCGAGCGAGTGGCAAAGTTGAAAGCCTGAAAGCAGAATGGAGAATGGATGCAGGCAAACGGTTTCTATAACAGGACAACATGCATAGCACACCCCGAAACCTCGCACCTTGCAAGCAGTCACAGCCCTCTGCTTCCTGCAGGCGTGAAGGTCAAGGAACAGAATGCCCAGTGCTCGTGCCAAACACATCAGGCACCAGTTCAGGAGATTTAAACCCTCCAAAAACCCTGATTGTCCTTTCTCACCACATCCAACACGCTGTCGATTAACTCCGCGCCTTCTGTGTAATGTCCCTGAGTCCACCACCGCTTTGATGCTGCTTCAGTCTCCGAGTTCACGAGGCAAAACGTCGCTTCGACGGCATGACTCAAGAAGACCGCATGGCAGGAAGCCAACAGGGCCAAGTTTCTTTAGCCCAGTTATTGCCAGCCCCTGCCAGGGTGACGCGGCCGCAAACGATTGCATGGTGCCCTCGTGCAAACATGTTTATGGTCAGCGGTGCCTGTCTGACCAAAGACGAAGTTGTCCGGACGAAAAAGTTGCCCAAAAGGTCCAGCGCGCACGCTGTCCATTGTGCCTGGTGGTAGATCAACGCTAGTAATTCGCCAGATTCGAGCGATGCATATCTATTCACTGCTAGACTCGAAATCGCAAGACATCGCAAGTTGGCAGTGCCACAGTACGATTTGTAAGGCGATGCTTCTTTCATGGAGCCGTACTTAGTAACAAGAAAGCTGCGCTGTAAGTATGACTGTACAAACTGCGCCTCCGTCTTTGTAACCTAACATGTTTACGCGATGTCCTGTGAGCAGATTTTGCACTATTTATGCTAGAGAGACCGGAGTGCTACCAAGGTGTTTCATTTCAGGATCCCATAGATGTTAGTATTAGCATTAGTAGTAGTACCAGTATTCTTCATCATTAGTATTAGTAGTTTTTGTAACCTACCGAGCAAACCCCAAACCCTAAACCCCATGAAACGAAAAGAACCCGAAGCCGAAGAAGGTCTGCGGATCAGGCCGCCGGGCTCCAGGTCCATTAAGACTGCGCGGGGAACGTAGCGGCCACCAGTCGCCTCATTGAAGACAATACTGACGCTAATGAAATCATGATACTAACCATAAGGATACTAATAAGAATAAGTAATACTCACGCTAAAAAATCATGATAGTAACCATAAGGATAATAATAAGAATAAGTCTACGCCTTCACAGATCGGACTCGCCAGCGGGGGATGGCATAATTTGCAGGTAGGCTCAAAAGCTTCAATACCGCCACGGCCCTCCGTCGACATCAAGGTTTGCTAATGACAGGTGATCTAAGCAAGGTCTCCAAGCCCCAACTAAGCCTTGACTCTGGCATGTAGGTTTAGGGTGTCTTCAGGGCGAGGACAGACCTGAAGAGCAAGTTGGTAACACTGGAATAACCAGTGCCTTCATGCTGCAAGCATCCGTTTCGGGTTTAGGGTCTGGGTGTAGGATTTAGGGGTTTAGGGTTTTGAGGTTCAGGGATTAGCTGCAAGCAGCCTAACACTCCGGCCTCGTTGAAGTAGACATTGATCCTCACAGGCAGCTGACCCAGCATTACTAGCACCACTGTTATTACGATCATTACTATTACTATTAATTATTGATACTATGGTTGTTACGACTTTTACTAGAATAGTAATCATAATAATCAGCATCATCATCATCATCCTCATCATGTGGTCATGGTTCTTCTTTCTAGTATTCGTATTAGTACTATTATCAGCATGATGAATAGTACTGGCTTAGACTAGATCATCTTAGATCAGGTTTGACAAAAAGCTGTGAGCAACATGCAGTCTGAGGTCCAAGAAAACTTAGAAAACCAATTTTCATTATTATCGTTTTTATTTCTTTTATGGTGAGAATTACAATTATTACTATTAACCTTTGAAAGGAGCTTACAAGGCTCTCTCTAGGCTGATGACAGTCCTCTCGAGCTGAAGATCGGAGTCGCCATGGTAGGTGCCTGCCGAATTCGGGCTTTCTCTGCTCAGGAATTCGAATGTTGGCAGCTCACTGCTTTTAACAGGCACACGACCGCGAAACTCAAACACAAGCCAAAAGCGTTCACAAAGGAAGGCTCAGGCAAAGAGCCGGCGCGACCTGTAGGGTCAATTCCGTGCTCGTCAGCGATAACTTCCCAGAATTTGGCACCGATCTGGTTGCCGCATTGCCCTGGACCCGGACAGACTGCACATCCCAGCTCTGCACACAGTCAGGGGGCGCACCTTAATTGTTTGGACCTTTGGATACGGCTATCACCCGCATTTGTGCAAAGTTGAAACAACTAACGGCTCTAGACCACAGGCATATGCTGCATGCATGCGTCCTCCCTGGATGTGGACGAGCTCGCGCATGGCTTCACAGGAAACAGAGGGCACGGATGCTGATGTGTCAGGCGTGCTTGAGCCAAAAACGTACATGGCAACACCATGATGACACTGTTGTGTAGCAAGAACTCGGTTAGCAAGCAATATACACACAGCATGCAGAGCGATCATCGCGAAGGCAACATGTCCCAATATCAAGACAGAGAGAAATCAAGAAGTACCGGCGAACAAGCAAATAATAAGCACACACACACGCACATATGTGTATATGTAAATATATATATATACACATACATACATACATACATAGATACGTCTATGTCGCCGACAAGCCAACAGATCAAGGGCACGGCAGAGGATTTTGTGGCTGGCTTCAAGAACGCGCCGGCTTTCCAGCCGTGCGTCATCGAGCTGAACAGGGGTTCGTCAGGCGAGGGCATCTGGATCATCAACCTGAAACGTGCTAACAAGCTTAGGTCTCTTCTTGCGTGTCTGTACATACATTGTCACTGTACATGGCGCCCATGTTGGAGTGGGCATGGTTCGTTTGAAACGACCATGTGGGGTTTGCCTTGTAGTTTGCCTCCCCCCACTCCTGGAGGAATAGGCTCAAGGTTTTGTGCGGCAGGTAGTGTTTGTCCCCTCAGTCCGGGGAGCGGCTGAGAGGTTAGGCCAGCTTTTCCTTGCAGGCGCATGGCGAAGCTTTTCCTGCATGGCCGGATTTATGTGATACCCGGAAAACCAGTAAGGATTGCCGGCTGTTGAGGCCTTTCAGGGGAGGCCCTGAAACCCCGAGGCGCCATGGGGGGCCCACCGCCTCTTTCAGGTGGGGCTTTAATTAATGAGTCCGACTTGGACTCTGTGCCTTGAAAGTGGATCTGATATATATATATATGTATATATGTATATATGTACTCACATATACAAACATGTGATGATTCCAGTTTTGCGGATGAGACGGAACTCACGTTGATTCTTGGGCCCCGAGCCGGAGCTCTTGGTAAGACTTCTCCTGCTTTTCGAGCAGCTCCTTCGGATCAAGCAAACCAAGTACACCGTGTATTGTTTAGAGGCACGGAATCAAAGCATAGCCCCCTTTTTTTGCAAAAGGCTTTCCACTTCGCCCGGAGTTGGNNAGCCCTAGCAGCTTCACTGCGGAGCCAGCATAGCCCCCTAAACCCTTGATGCTCGCGGGAGTTGCTGAACGCATGCCTTAAGCCAAAATAGCCTCCCTTCATGGTAACAAAACCCAGCACGAATTACGTTATGGTAGGTTAACGTCTTCCCTAAGCCGACCCCTGAACTCCTGTGGAACCCCTTTCAAGGCACAGTGAAAGCCAGCACCTCCATCTCGATGACTTTGCGGCGGGCTTCCTCCAAGGCTGCCGTCTGCTCCTGCCTCAGTCTGGCTCACCAGAACAAGGGAGGACGGTTGTGACCCTAGGGTCTACAGGGTTGTGGAGATAGCCAGCACGAGGTAGAGGGAGGGGACGATCCCAGTTTGAGGGCTTGGGGGTCCATCTTCCACCTCGGAGCGACTTCTCCGGCCTTGACTATGTATGTCGGTCATGACTACTCCACGCTCTTGCGTCGAACCACAGGTCCCTCTGAAAGCGGGCCTGCCCGGCCCTGGAGAGGTTGAAATTCTGAACCTGTCTGGTTCGATGCTGAGGACGCAGGCAACGTCAAGTGCCGAACATCCCCGAAGAAGGTCTCTGCCCGAACCACTGTCTACCATCTCAGCACCATGCTTTTCGTGACCAGCAGAGCTTGAATCGCGCTGAGCGTGCTCCTGCAGCAAGAACTGCGGAACGGGGGTCTAGTACGATCTGGGAAAAAACTCAGGGCGGCTGGTCGGGCCTCATAACGAGATCATTTGAAGTGGCGTCTTTGGGAAGCAACCCGAAACCTTCAATCCTGAAACCCTTACTAAACCCTAAACCCTGAATCGCAAAACCCTAGATCCTACACCTACACCCTGACTAACTAAGCCCTGAAACCCGAAGATCGCAAAAACCCTTATAAACCCTGAAATCGCAAACGTTCAACAAAAGTTGCAAACACCGTAAAGCCTAACATCCGAACCTTACGGAACCCTAGACCCTAAAGTCTAAACTCGCAAACACCCTCTTCCAAAGCCTTACTAAATAAACCCTAACCCCCAAAATCTCTCAAACTCTATACCCCAAAATTCGGAAACCCTTACCGAACCCTAAGGGCAAAAGATGCACAAACCCTAAGACCCGAAACCCTAAAATGCGTACTAAACCACAGACCGTCAAAAAAATCCAAACACTAAAGTCCTAAAACCCTTTCCAAACCCTCTCTCTCTCTCTCTCTCTCGCGTGCTCCTTTCCAAACCCTAAACCCTAAAACCGAAAGAACCCTAAATGCCAAAAATCCCTAACACCCTTGTTCAACCCTGAAACCGGACTACACAAAACCCTGAGCCCTAAATCCTGAAACTCGTACTCATTCCTAAACCCTAAAACCGCGAAAGCCAAAAACCCAACAACACGAATAGAACCCTGACTAAAACCGAAACCCGAAAATCCCACAAACCCCAAAAAAACCCTAGAATCCTATTACCCTGACCAAACCCTAGACCCTGAAATTGCAGAAACCCTTTTTTGATAGGGACTGCAACGCTCAGGCGCTGAATCCCTTCAGCCAAGCTCCAATTGCAGAAACGCAAAACCCTAAACCCTAAACATCGTAAACTCTTACTAGCCCTAGACATCGCCAAAACTCGAGACCCTGGCACTATTAAAAAAAACTTATTAACCCCTAAACCCTAAAATCGCAAAAAATCTAGACCCTAAAATCCTAAAACCATTGCCAAACCCTAGACGCGAAAGTCGCAAAAAAAAAACCAACAAACCCTAAACTAACACAACTCTTACTAAACCCTATAGACCCTAAAATAGCTAAAACCCTAAACCCTAAACCCTACAATTGCAAAAACACCGAAAACCCAAAACTCCTACAACCTTTCGTTCCTAAGCCATCAACCCTGAGATCGCAAACCCTAAGCCTTCAAATCCCACAACCCTTACTAAACCTTAGACTTAAACCGTAAGAACGTAAACATCCAAAACCCTGAACTCCTGAAACTCTTACTAAACCCTGAAACCTGAAATCCCAAAAAACCCTAAATCCTAAAATCCTAAAACCTTTTCTAAGCCTAAACACTGAAACCGCAAAACCAAAAAACAAATAAAACCTATGAAGCCCTAAACTCTAAATCCCGAATACCCCAAAATCCCAAATCAGTACAACCCTTGCTAAACGCTAAGCCTAAGCCCTACAATCGCAAACGCCCGCAACCCTAAAATCCTAAAACCCTTACCAAACCCTAGACCCTAATGGCAAAAACCTAAAACCCTATAGACTCTACTAATAAAACTGTTACTAAACCCGACAACCTCAAATCACAACCAAAAAAACTAAACCCGAAAATCCTGCAACCCTTACCGAACCCAAGACCAGAAACTCAAAGCCCTAAAATCCTACAACCCTTCAACCCTAAACCCTAAACCCTAAAATTGCAAAAACACCCTAGACCCTAAATTGCACAAGAAAACCTATCCTAAACCTAAACCCTAAAGTCCTGAAGCCCTTACCAAACGCGATACCCTAAAGAAACAAAATCCCGTAACCCTAACATCCTAAACCCTTACAAAATCCCTAGACCCTATAAAAAGCGAAAAAAAAAACCTGGCAGAATACAAACCCTTTTACCAACATACTGACTCGTACTGTAAACCCTAAAATCGCAGAAAACCTATCCTAAAGCCCCATCGCAATAACCTTAAACCCAAAAGTTCAAATGACACCGTAACCAAACGCTAGACCCTAAACACGCCAAAACCCTGAAAGGCCAAAATCCTAAAACCTTCGCCAAACCCTGTATCCTAAAATCGCAAAACAACTAAACCATCCTAAACCCGAAAACATGCTTTGTTAAACCCCGAACCCTGAATTTGCAAAACCCCTACAGGCCCTAAACCATAAAACCCTGAAGCCCTTACCGAACCCCCAACCTTGAGTCGCAAGCACCCTACACTGAAAAATCCTAAATCCTTACCGAACCCTAGACCTTGAATTCACAAAAAAAGACCCTAACGCGTAAAATCAAAAAACCCTTGCCAAACCCTTAGACCCTAGCATCCCTAAACCCCTATCCTACAACCCTTACGAAACCCTAAACCCCAACAAAAACTCGCAAACGCCCTATAAACCCTCAAATCCTGAAACCCGTGAAGCCTAAAACCCCGAAACCCTAAATCCTGAAACCCGTGAATCCTAAAACCCCTAAACCCTAAATCCGGAACCCGTGAATCCAAAAACCCCTAAACCCTAAATCCGGAACCCGTGAATCCTAAAGCCCTAAACCCTAAATCCGGAACCCGTGAATCCTAAAACCCCTAGACCCTAAATCCTGGAACCCGTGAATC